GCTTTAAAATAATATGCCCTTTTGTCAATACGTATTTTATTGCTCACTGGATTATTCTGCTCCTTCCTGGACTGTTGGAATTGAGCTCTGGTTTGACAGCCAGCAAGCAAGCTTTGTGGACTGGGTGTAGGGATAGGAGGGACCAGAGAGGGTTGGGCACTTGGGGTATGTCTTTAAAGGAGCATTCCTGTGCATGTTTATACGGAAACAAACCTGGCTGGCTGGCTGGGGAATACTGGAAACTGCAGATATTTTTCTGTATAAACATACATAGGATTGCCCCCTATTTTCTTCCTAAATGGCAGCTACAAAGAATTATGTGTTCTTGAAACTCAGTGCTCCAGGTTTTTCTCCATCCAAGTTATAATCAACTGACAGAATATAAGGCAACATTTAATTCTTGGCTAATCAGATTATATGAACATCCAAAGAAGTCTTCCTGCAAAAGGAGAATTAGAGTCCAAAGTATTCAGACAGCACCATGGTAGGGAAGACTGCTTTCAATTGACAGAAAAAAGAAAGTGCAAATGGGCAGATGAAGGGAACACCTACAGAAAACTGGCTCTCACACTTGACCATACCATTTAAAAAGGAAACATTAAAGAGAGATCTTTAAGAAATTAAGGTACATCTTTAATATCAACACTGTGTCACAACTGAAGGTGTTTTGGATTATGCTTAGAAATTACAGGGATCTTTAGGTTATGTTAGGGAAACAGGATAGTCAGCAAAAATTCCTCACCGTCCTTATCGTCATCAGAGGGGATGGTACTGGTTGAATTTCTGCTTGTCACACAGCCTTTAATGTCCTCTTCCACAATCAGTGTTGGCTGTAGGAAACTTTTGCACTTCTGAAGGTAGAGCAGGGATAAGGAATGTTTCGACTTCCAGATGTTGTTGGACTACAACTCCTATCTTTCTGACTATTGGCCATACTGATTGGAACTGGAGTCCAAGTAATATCTGGAGGGACAAAGGCTTCCCATGTCTGAATACAGAAGCTCTACTCAAAATGGAATGAACCCTGCCAGGAAAAAAAGAAGATCAGCTGTGTGTCACTCCTTTCGTACTTTTTTCCAGTAGGGGAAATCATTAATTGAAACCATTGCAACAAACAGGAGACTCTAATGCAAACTTTCCTAATATGGTGTCCTCCAGATGTTTTGCACTTCAACTTCCATCTGCCCCAACCATCTCGGCCCACAGTCAGGAATGCTGGGCACTGTGGTGGAGGGCACCACAAACAGGGAAGGCTGCTTAAACCCACCTCCTCTGTGTGTTCACATCTTACTAAGTGCATTCAGGCACCCACTGGTGCTACAGAACAATTCCTATGCGGCCCTATAGGGCAGTGAGAGCAGACTGCAATGCCGAAGTGGAGAAGCAGCTTCGCAGGGGCTCCTGTCACTGGGCCACTGCTGGGGGCTGGGCAAGCCCCCAGCCAGCCCTGGGCCGACATCCGTCTTGGGAAGAAACAACCCAGCACCGTTCTGGCATTCAGATATTCCTTTAGCAGGTCCCCAGATCACTGGAGAAATGCATGGCTTGACCAGGCTCAATTCCACCTTCAGTGCAGGGCACAACAGCCTGGTAACCAGATGCTAACAAAGCAATTGCTCCCACAGCCCTGGCAACCTGCGTCAGTGGAGAGCTGGGCAGTGGCCAGGCAAACCCTGCAATAAAAACAAGCAAGGGGTCAGATGTGGAAGCCAACCACACCCCGTGGGACTCGGCAGGAATCAAACGATGGCACTTCTGTGGGTTTGTAGGCTCATTTAAGAGTGAATGTTCCAGCAGGAGGGGTACAAATAAAAGCGATGCCATTCCATGGCACTCACCATGCAGGCCCAGAGGATACCAGAGACCCCCAGCGCATTCCCTGTTAATATCCAGGAAATCCTGCAAAAGAGTCTCATCTCCGTCCCAAGTGCATAGTTATGGAGCTTCTGAACAAGCATCTATTTACCAAATTTGCTGTTTCCAGCATACCCTGGGTGCAAGCAGCCAGGCCCGGATCTTCTCCCTGGCCCAAGAAATGTCCCACCTCTAGTTGCCACTTCTTGACCTCTCTCAGAATCGGTCCACCTGGTGCTTCCATGCCAGCTGATGATGCTATTTCTACAAGTTAGTGGGCCACAGGTCTCCATCACAGTGGGCAGAAGGTCGAGCACCAAATACAGAGCCCTGTGGGATAGCATGCAATGCCCTTTTTAGACAGCCTCAGGAGCACAGATTATTTGAATTCCGAGGATTCTGACCCAGGACTCTGGTCTTCTCGTGAGAATTTTCATGCAATGTGCTGCCAGAGATGTCCGTGGTCTGAGCATCTATGGCTCAGTCCTTACACATGAAGCTAAGGACATGAGAGCCAAGCTGGTTCAGGTCAAAGGACCATCCGGTACAGCACTCTGTTCACAGGGGAGCCAGCCAGCTGCCTGGGGATCCCACAAGCGGCATAGGAGCACAACAGCTCCCTCCTGCCCAGGATTCCCAGCCACTGGTATACACAGGCCTACTGGCTAAGCACACTGCATGGAATGGCAGAATGCTGAGGTAGAAGAGGGGGCTGTACCACTTCCCAATGCTCCTTCTATGGAAGCAAAGAAAACTTTCCCGCAAGCAGAAACCTTACACATCAAGGGTAATTATCCTAGTGTAGCTCACTACTTGCAGTGCTAGTTCTCTATTTGCAGGGATAAGAATTCTACCACCTCAGTCTGCTGCATGTTGCATAAACCAGGTTCCCCTCTCTGCTGCAGCAGGATAATGCTGTATGGATACTGCATGCAGTGGTCATGGGGTTTATTTCTCTGTTCAGCTCTCAGGCCAATGGGGCATCTAGTCCACCCAAATGCTCCCAGGGACTAACATGGCCAGAAAGGGCAAAATTCTACATCTCCCTAATGGACCCTGAACAGCCTCCAGGAGGACAGACCACTGTGCCAGAGAGACAGATCGTAAGCACAGCATCGCTATTTTTCATTTCAGCAATAAAGGAAGCTGTAGGATGGCAAACAGCCATATCCAGAGGAGATCTGAAGCAACCTGCATGTTCAAACAAGAACAGCTCCAAGTCACAAAAGGCCACAGAAGCACCAGTAACTGTGGACCCAGCCCAGGGGGCCGTAAGGAGCAAAGGCCCATCCAGCCCAGCATTCTGTGCACACAGTGGCCATCCAGCTGCCCGTGAGAAACCCTCTAGCAGGACCTGAGGGGAGGAACACCCCGACGGTCCAGCTCCCAGCACCTACTCTGCACAAGCAGGCAGCCTGCACCACCGAGGTGGCGCTCAGCCATCAGGACCAGCAGCCCGGGATAGCTTTGTTCCCCATGAATTTGACTAATTCCTGCTTAAACCCATCTAAGCTGGAAGACAAGGCTACATTCTGAGATAGTGAAATCCATTGTTTAGCTATGACTACGTATTTCCTTTTATCTCCCACCCTTCAACTTTGTAGGATTAACCTTGCTGGAAAGGAACTCACCAACAACGAGGGGGAAAGGGGGACCACTGGGGAGGCTCCTCCTTTGCCTCGCAGAAAACAACACACAGTGTCAGAGAATTGGCTTCCAGTGGTACCGTATGAGGGTTACGGACGCTCGATGGCCTAAACCGCTTTGCGAGAAGAAAAAGGACCCCAGCGAGAGGAAGCAACAAGGTTACTCCCACCTAACGTAATGCCAGACTCAGTTTGCAAGGTATTAACTGTAGACCTTTTGTGCACTACACACAGCTTTTCATAGTTTTAGCCTCACCACCACGTCTCAACTCGAGGGATCAGGGAGGCACTGGAGAGTCGCTTTGCTCTCTGACCTGGTAGCTGCCCAGTCGGAGACAACAACACACAGGGTGTGCTCGCACACCACAGTAGCCAGTGCCACATGGTCCCTGCACGGCATGCATCTCACCTTATGTCTCCCATCAACCCCCACGGCTCAGTCAGTCCCTGGTGCATTGCCCCCGCCTCCCTCTGGCCCACAAGGGTCCCGGGCACGGCCTTGTCTGAGTCTTTCCCCGCTGCAGTGCAAAGCAGCTGCCCATTCACCGGGGTGGCACTGTTGCTGCAGAGCAGCACTGCAGGACCGCCCCCTGCTCTGTGCCGACGTGCAAGCACACCTGCCTGCGTGCCCCCGTCTCCCTCCCTCATTGCACAGCAGGGCTTGTTGGCGGCCTCCAGGAATGCCAGCGACAAGACGGGAGCGGCAGTGAGGGAGCAGGCAGCCTGGACTTCTCTGGGTGATCACCTGGACAGAGAGGGCCGCGTGCAGCCGGCACGCTCCGCTCGCGTAAAGCCACCTTCACAAGGAGAGCGCGCAGAACGGACATACAGCCGTCGCAAAGCACTGCTCCAGCAACCAGACTGGCGTGCTAAGCGTGGCTGCCTCCCATCTTTCAGAGACGCAGCTGGGCATCAGGAAGGCAGCATGCAGAGGGAACAGCACTGTCGGAAAGCCCATCAAAGCACAGCTACAGCTGCTTCAGTTAAAAATGGAGGCTGGAGCATCTGCTTCCACCATGGCTGCTCTTACCACCCAACTCGATGGCAGAACTGTGGAAACCACGGAAAAACATTCTAACTGGATTCACAGAGGCCAACAAGCAAATGTGAAACATGGGAGCCTTGCAACAAACCGTTGGTGTTTCACAGGAATTCATGGAAAGCAAATGTGCCGCGCTCCCCTGTGGATGCAAAATTCACTCATCATGACAAAGGATGCTGTGCAGTTTCCAGCATGGCTTCTTGCTGTGTGTGAACACTGCCGTATAAGGCAAGCCCAGGAAGAAGGAGAGTAAAAAATAATGCTCAAGGCCATTCAAAAGGTTTTAAGTGGGCCACTTTACAGGAAGCTTCCGTGTGCTTCCTAAGAGTGGGGAAACAGGAGGCATTCAGGGGAGTAAATGGACTCCCATTCCCACCTTGCTCACCAACAGATGATGTTCTAGCATATGCTCATGTCAATTAGTTGTGACACTACATATACACATTGTGAGTGTTTATTACATTGCAATAATATTTCAACTACCAGATATTTTTTTAAAAATCTATAGGCTGTTTCTTAGACACCATTAAATAAATCATAGGGACCAGTCTGGATAGGGCTGGAGTCCCTGGAAAAGGAAGACAGGAAAAACCCCATAGGAAGAATTCTGACCATATTTGCCACGGGACTCTGGGTGGACCTTGAGATTCAGCAGTTCCAAATTTGTTTTTGTTCCATCCTGGAATGTTAGTGATTTAGGGTACTGGTAATCTGTCTTAGCTGCTCCAGGGACCCACAAAGGCAATAAATCTATTAATTTTTGAGAAGCACCTGGTGCTTTGAGATGATGGTTCAGGCTTCAGCTAGGCAGAGGCCCACTGCAACTTCCGCTCCACCAAGTGACACTCCAGTACAACTCTCAGTACATTTGGTTAGGGTAAGGCCACAGGGGCAGAAAAGAGACGGGGTTTTCTCCCGCATGGATCCGCTGGTGTCTCTTGTGGTGGGAGCTGCGGCTGAAGCTCTTCCCGCAGTAAGTGCAAGTGTAGGGCTTCTCCCCCGTGTGAATGCGGTTGTGCTGGGTGAGGGTGGACTTGTCGGTGAAGCTCTTCCCGCAGTCAGAGCAAGTGTAGGGCTTCTCCCCCGTGTGGATTCTCTTGTGTCTGATGAGGTTGGAGCTGACATTGAAGCACTTCCCACAGTGGTTACACTCAAAGGGCTTTTCACCTGTGTGAATGCGCATGTGCTTGACGAGGTCCGAGGTCTGGTTGAAGCTCTGCCAGCACTCTGCACACGTGTGGGGGATTTCAAAGGGAGAGTTTTGCTTCTTTGACACTCTGGCTTTCTTGACTTTGCCAGGAGCTATGACATCAGACGTAGGACTCCCCTGGTGGCTGCATTTGCCCTGCCGCTTCTCCGACGGGCTCTTCAGATGCCGTTTGTGGTGGGAGCTACGGCTGAAGGTTTTCCCACAGTCAATACACTGGTAGGGCTTCTCTCCAGTGTGGGTTCTCACATGCTGAACCAAGGTTGACTTGTCAGTGAAACTCTTCCCACACTCAGAACAAAGGTATGGCTTTTCCCCCGTGTGAATTCTCTGGTGCCTGCTCAGGTTGGAACTGACACTGAATGATTTCCCACAGTCAGAGCATTTATACGGCTTCTCTCCCGTGTGGATTCTTTGGTGGTTAACCAGGTCGGAGCTCTGTGCAAATGTCTGTCCACATTCAGTGCAGATGTTAGGGTTCTCACCTGAATAGGTTCTCTGGGGAGCAGTAGTGCCTTTGCGCTTCCTTGCTTTTTTATCAGGGGCCCCAGCATTCCCTGACCCGTCTACAAGGAGGTTCTTCTGTTGCTCTACTGAGTTCCTCTGACCCTTCAGCTGTCTTTTTGGACCCAAGGTCTGAGGAACTTTCCCTTTGGATCTTTTTGGAGGCATCTTGTTTGAGTTCTGGTGAAGCTGAACAGTCTTTCCTTCAGTCACATGTGTCCTTCCATAATCTGTTTAGATAAATGTACATACAAAGTTCACATAAGAACAGAGGAATCACCTGGTGTCATGTCTGTCATCCACAGTGCGATCTGCTTTGGCATCTATCCTCCTAAGAATTTTGGCTATCACAAATAGGACACATCACTTTCTGTCCCAGGGCCCTGTCTGAGATTCCTCCACCACCACCTCCTTTAGCTCTTCCTTCCTTCAAGTGATTGTCTTCTTTGTTCTAGCTCAAATAAAGTCTTGCTTATTCTTTAGTTCTCCAGGGAACCAATGCCCACTTCTACTTTAGGCAGTGCAAGGGGCCACTAGAAATATGTAATTTCCCCCTTGCATCCCACTTAAATTCATAGTGCTGCAACTTAAAATGGGTGTTTCCAAGTGCTTTGCCAAGAACCTTTTCTTTAATAAAGACTTTTCTGCATTTATTTAATTTCTATATGGCACATTAGCTGAAGCTCTCCGGGAGGCTTACATAGCTGAACTTAAAACTATAAAATACAATAACAAAGTAAGCACTAATAAAAAAAACATGTTTAAAACAGAATAAAACCAGTGGAGACCCAAAAAAAAAAAGCCAACAGCAGTGCTAAGATCTAATAATGTAGTAACACAGTTTATAAAAGTAAATGACTAAAAAGCCCTAGATAATACAAAGGTCTTTTTACCCTGGCGCCACGCCCCCACGAGATAGGCATCAAGTATGCCCCTCCAGGGAGGGCATTTCACAATTGGGATACCTTCATATCCACCTGCCTCACCTTACTTGTGGAAGGGGCACCCAGAGAGGGACTTCTGAGGACAGTCTTAAGAGTTCAGGCAGGAATCTACAAAAGAAGTAACCTGGCTCCAAGCTGAGCTTTGAATTTGGCCCAGAAACGAATCAGCAGCCAATGCAGATCAAAAAGTGATGGCATAATGATCTTATTAGCCAGTCCTCATTAATAATCTTGCTGCTCTGCTTAAACCAGCTGAAGTTTCCAAAGCTTTTTTCAGAGGGAGCCCCATATAGAGCACACTGTAGTAATCCAAATGTGCAAATTCCTGAGAGTAGGTAACTGTAGCTCGAATTCTAGACAGCATCATAGTGGGCACTCTATTGAACCCCCATGGGAAGGCTGCTATTTTTTTAAAAACGCTCCTATGCATAACTGCATGGCAGGCAGAAATCCAACAGGAACAATTTTGTCTGGTACAGGCCAATCTTCTCTCCAAAGCAGGAGGTTCACTTACATCCAGTCAGACCCGTGCTCAGGCAGCAGGTCAGTTCTGTTAACCTGACACTGGCTGGCAGCAGCACCCCAGGATCTCAGAGGGACATCTTTCTTAGCCCTGATCTGGAGCTGCCAGGAATTGAAATTGGGCCCTTCTCCACACAACACATGTGGCCACTGAGCCACAGTTCTAGTAATGAAGATACACCTGTCTGTCCATCACTAGAACAGTTAAAGACGCAGATGCCCTGAAGGGGGGGGATGGTGGCAACTTCACCCCATGTGCTTTGAATTGGGCCCAGAAATGGACTGGCAGCCAGCACAGATGGCAGAGCACTGGCATATGATTATGTAGGCTAGTCCCTTACGATCTGATTTTCCTCATCCCCATGATTTCCTTCCCAGAACCTCTCCTCTGCCACCCCCTCTTGTCCACGTCAGGCGTACTGGCTGGGGCTGTCACTTCAGCGCAGGGAACCCAGAAGCCCTTGAGAAAGCTCCTGCCGCTTTAAAGAGTGGAGCGGCAGAGGAAATCCCACCAGATGCAGCTTCCCTACCCGTGAGGGGGAAAGCTGCACCTAGAGGAATCCTGCTTCCACACAGCCCTCCAGGGCACAGTGGCCCTCTCTGGGTCTGCAGCTGGCAACTGCACGGAGCACCGGGTGTGGCAGCACTGGCCCAGTGCATTTGAAAGAGAGCAGCGGGGCCAGTCTGGTCCAGAGGCGGCTTTGCTTTTCTTTCTTTTAAATGGCAGCATGGCAAGGCACAAAGAAGAAGGCCACGCTTACTTCGATAGTCTCCGCGAAGGGAAAGGGGTGTGAAAGGGCAAGCCTCCTTTCCTGGGATGGACGGAGGGGTGGACGGAAAAGTTGGCGCGCCCTTTCCCCAAAGACAGCGGGCGAAACTTTCTCTTGCGCCGTCAGCGGATCAGCTGCTCCTGCGGATCTTAAGAGGCAAAGCGCCCGGGAAGAGCCGTGCAGAAGCGAGGCAGGCATCCGTCCTGGGGGCTTGGGTGGGAGACAACCGCTCTTGTCCCTTTCTGTCCTGGGGTCCAGGAGCGTCGCCTCCGCTGCGGCGGACACAGGCGGCGGGAACTGCGGCCCGGCTTCCTTCCCTTGCACGGATCGCCTCCACCTGGAGTGGGGGAGCAGCCGCTGGGGGCCGCACGGGTTTGGGGTCGCAATGGAGGAGGAGGAGGAGGAGGAGTGGCAGGAAGCAGCACAGCCGCCTAACCTGGGAAGCCCAACCTCAGCACGGGGGCGGAGGAGGAAGCAAGAAAGGCGGGAGGGAGCAAGAGCGGCTTCCTACCAGCAGAGCCCTCTGGCGGCTATTGAAATCAATCCCATCCCGTGCAGTGCAGCTCTTTTTCTCGTCATTTTTACTCTGGAGTAGGTGCAAAGTTCCAATCCAGCTCAGGCCTTTGGCGAGAAGAGGAATAGTGGGAATGGTGCTGTTAAGATCTGGATCAGGTCTCCATTCTGGAGTAAAAATAAAAAAGACATCTGTGTTGGACACGCATTTAAGGCCAATGGTTGATTGTGGTTTATATTTCCATATAATTGTGGAAATTATATTTCCATACCCTCAGTAGTTGGTGCTTGGAGGCTTCCAAACTGTTCTGTATCTGGGGGAAACCAATTTGACAATTAGGTGGAGTGAGACAGCTATCTCAGCCACGTGAGAGGGAGAGACCATGCTGGTACCCCTCTGATGTACCACCTGAGTTCCCTAAACAGGATGGTTGCTCTCAGGTATGGTATTATCAGGAGTGAAGCACTTCTATACATAAAATGGGATCCGTGTGCGCGTGCAAGCACAAGCCATCCTGTTCTTCATTTTAGACTCCGCTTATAAGATTCTTTGATGAGCATTTCAGTACAAATTGCTCTAAGATCAACACTGTCCATGATGAGGCCTTCCTCTGAAGGAAGCTTGGAAAGTAGCAACGAGGGCCTTTTCAGTGGTGGTTCAGTAATTATGGAATGCTCTTCCCACTGAGATCCACCTGGCACTAGCATCATTCTCTTTTTTGGCACCAGGAAAAAACTGTCCTCTATTCTCAGACATTTGATGGCATTTATTTTTTGGTGGGGGGGGTAGGTTATGTTGCTTGCTTCTATGCAGTCTAGTATATTATTGTAACTGGTTGTTTAAAATTGTTCTTAAATTTTCATTGTCAAGATTTTATGTTTTTATTATTTTGTACTGGAGTATGTAATTTTTGAGACCTGCCAAAGAGCTTTGATATTTGGGTGGTATAGAAATGAAAATGATAATAAAAATGTAAAAAATACAGCTTGTTCTTTATGATTAATTTCCCACTACAACCCTCAGCCTACTCATACAGAAGTATCATGTCTTTTAGGAGATGCACCTGCTCGCTTTACATTTGTGTGATCTACTTCGTTTGCTTGAACTCTGAGGTACACTGGCCAGAGCCAGATAAAAAATGCTGGGATGGGGGGGGAGGAATGGTGGGTCAGGGGGCAGAGCAAATGACCTCCTGCATCCCATGGGCCTCAGCTAGAGAAACTGCTTTTGCATCAGAAGGTCCCAGGGTCAATCCCCAGCATCCCAGGTAGGGCTGGAGGAACTCCTGCCTTCAGCCTTTGAGAACCACTGTCAACTTCCAGGCTAAATGGGCCACGTAGAAGACACCTTCCTATCTTCGGTGCACACTGCTCTGACAAGGTCAGACTGAGTTATCACAGACCAAGACTCTCGCAGCCGAACTTCAAGGGGAAGGAGTCTTTTGTTTGACCTCTGTGTGCGTGCAGTTGCTTGGTTAGTTGTTTTTGTTGGTACAAAAAACAAAGTGCTTTCACAAAAGAAAATGCCACAGATCACGTCAACAATTTCCTTAGCCAAGGCAGTGAGGATTTTCACCTGTTCCTTAAGTGCTGAACACCAGATGTCCTCCTGTAACCTAACCGATCTGTATGTGTTGCTTGGGGAGCTGCCCGCCGCTCCTTTAACTCTCATCAGAAGGGCCTCTGGGAAATATCATACCCTGAGGGGACAGGAGGAGAAACACAGCAGCCTTGAACTCAAGAGAACCTGCAGAGGGCAGAACACTAAAAATGGAACATGCTAGCAAAAAACAGGCCAACCCAGAAGGGTGATACAGCAAAACTTTCAACAGGTTCCTGGATAGGTGTGTTCATACATCCGTCTGTCCAGCTGAATCACCACCATACCCTTCCCCCCCGCTCCCACCCCAATCCCTTTTCTTGTGTCATTTGAGTTTCCAGGCCTGAGGCCCAGGACGGTCTGATTCTTGATTTCTGAAAGGCATTCTGGGAAACTTTTGACTGCAGTGCAGAATGAAAATGCTTTGAATAAGTTCACCTTCATCAACATCATCATTAAAACTCGAGCGTATCAGGTTTCTTCTCCAAGCATCAAAGCGAAGTTTCCAAGGATGTGGAGGGGGGGGGCGTGTTTTGGGGTGAGGCGGTTCAATGAGACATGAGAGGGACCACAACCCAATGGCAGCGCGTGCACTTTGGGTGCAGGAGGTCTCAGAACTCCAGTTAGAAAGATCAAGTAGCAGCTGGTGAGATGCTGTTGCCAGACTGAACACTGGCCTAAAGGGCCAAAGGTGGTGTTATATGATGTACGTTGATGTCTAGATGTCCCCATCACTTAGAAAAATTAAAAATGAATACTAACAGCTCAGTCCTAGACATACCTTACTGAATGCACTAGGGGACACACTGGCATGCCATAGGGAAGAAACGACTGAAATAATGGAAGATTCTCCTGAGTCCCTCAGGAAGAGGTTGCCTTCACAGCTCAGGATAGACCACATACCTTATATAAAAAAGGTTCCCAGTCCAGTCCGTAGCATATTCCAGGCAGAGTTGGGAAAGACTCGGCTTGTTTACCCTGTCTAGAGGCATCAGCGTTGCAATTTCTCAAATTACCTCTTAGCTGCTTCTTCTGCAGGGCATGTCTGAACTAACGTTGGCTCTGTTGGATGGATGAGACTCATGAGGATTTTATTCCAATTAGTACATGGAATTACTGTATTTTTCGCTCTGTAAGACGCACTTTCCCCCCTCAAAAGGGGAAATGTCTGTGCATCTTATAGAGCAAATGTGTGTGTGCCCGACGCCCGGGATGCTGCCGGCCCGCCTGCACCACATGGCACCCCCTGGCCGGCACACACTCGGCACGCGCTGCTCCGCCCCCCCCTCCGGTGCAGGTGAGAGCTGTGCCGCTCAGGGGGAGCGGTGCGGAGGAGGAGGAGCCACGGGCTTTAACCTGCTGGCCGCATGGAGAGACGGACTGCTCGCCCCCACCGCCCGGGAACTGTTCACCCCCACTGCCTGGGAAGACCTGCCACTGCCGCGCCGCCCAGACCACCGCCGGCACGCTGCCGGCCTGGCTGCACCACACCTGGCCGACACGCGCTCGGGGCACCCTGCTCCGCCCCCCTCCTCCAGCACAGCTGAGAGCTGTTAATCACAGGTTGGTGTGTGTTTTCAAATGGCAACCCATCTTTTAATGAAGCCCATGGGGAAGTGATGGGGAATGTGCCTGTGATTATCAGGAAGCTTTCCATGGATCCCTCCTCTAAAAACTAGGTGCGTCTTATGGTCAGGTGCATCTTATAGAGCGAAAAATAAGGTACAGTTTGGTTTATTCTCCTGTTAGATGTATTCTAATTGTTTTTTTAGTATGCCTTCCAGGTAAATAGTATTCTTAGGTTAAACTACAGCAAGATGAATCACTGACAGCTTTTCATATACTGAAGACATGATAGCAGAACCAATTTGCACCAGCTTAGTAGGCACGGCATCTTTCAAAATATCTTGGGAGCTGCAGTTTGAGGAAAGTGCTAAGAAATGTCTGTTAGTGCATCGAAGATCTCTCTCAGTTCCAAAGACTGTCTGGGGAAAATCAATGAATACTAAACCTCTAACATATCCTACATTCCAGTGCTTATTAAACCCTTTCTTGGGGACGGGGGTAGGTCGGGGAAATATCTACCATTGCTTCACCACAATATTTGGACTCTGAGATGGATTCCATTCCATAGCTGGGGCAGGCCCCATGAGCACTACATGACCCTGCAGCTAACAACAGTGGCAAACCGTAGCGAGCACCACCAATTTTACTATTAAGGGCCAGAGTTTATTCAGCAATGGTTGGTAGGCCCAGAAGACCTCTCTCAGATCAGACATGTCATCCTTGAGCCTGTTGTGTGCAAGGCAAAGGATTGTAAAGTGTGCTGCATTTTGAGAAGACTTAGAAAATAATTCTGTAAGGACCGATCTCAACATGGTCAATTTATCTGATTTTACAACCCACGGGTTGTAAGTTTCAAGCTCCCATAGTGAACCTTGCCTTAAAGCAAAAAACAGCATAACGCAACCTGCCTTAGTGTAAAGGATTAAGCATGTTCATCTGGAGTGCCATTCTTCTTATCAAATTGGGAACGTGCCTTTAAAAGGGAAAAGGAACTTGCTTGAGACCACAGCATCCTTTAACATTCCTGCAGAGGTGGTCTTAGGTTTGCCACATACACATATTTATGCATATGTGCACCCCCACACGCTTATAGATCTTTAAGTTTCTTAACAGAGCGCCTGACACTGGTAATCAATACAAGAAACAGAAGAGACAGTCTCCTGTCCTTACCCCCATCTGCCTCAAGATAATCAGGAGTAGCCTGGTGGTTATAACCTTCCACCATCACCTGCCCCCAATCTTATTCCAGGGCACAATGCTTTGTTTTGCATGGTCCTACCAAGCCTGCTTGCCTGCAGTTTTCCTGTTCAGACAAACCTGAGCAGCAGAAAAAGGCTGCTGCTTTTATTATGGATATGGATCGGTTGTCATTTTACTGAATTGTTCCTGCTGTGCTAGCTTGTCTTAAACATTTGAAAAATGATTTTATTGACATTTTATTTTGCCAGAACATCCTTGAAAGCCTATGTTCCGGTGCATTGATGAGGAGATAGAACGTGTTGAAATAATCAACTGCAGTGCTATTATTCAGCCTCACAGCCAGCTAGGAGACAGACCCATTTCATGCTCCTGGGAAACTTTGTTATAAATTGAGGATCTTTCCAACAGAGGCTTTTACTGCATGATCGTCATGTCTCAAATACAGAACTGTAGGGGTTTGTGAAGGGGCTGAATGTTATCTTTCCCTTGCATCCCTCCTGTGTCTTCCGACTTCTTCGATATTTTTTCTTACCAGGCAAATCTGCTAAGGAGGGCAAGACGGATAGCTGCACAATGTCTTTCGATTGCTAGTGCTGGGAGCTCTCCATCTGGAAATATCCTCAGAAAGGAAGGAAATAATGAGCAAAGCAGCATTTCATTTTAACAGAAGTGGCACTGAGGGAGGAGGTTTTGGTCTTCAGCTAAGTATTCCATAACACCATAAATAACTCTGGTTATTATCTATAGCAATAAAAGAGAGTGGCATTCTATCTGTCCATCCAATACTGCTATACTGTCAAGAAGACGACACTTACAACACCTGAAATTTGACATGCATAAGGAAGGGGACCCAATAGGGCACATACTATGGTCATTTAAAAAAAATAATGTCAATATGTCCACATGGTTGAAACAATCCCAAGTGCCAGGTTTCTTGGTAAAATGGAGGATATAAATCAACCCAATAAATAAAAATACATTGTAGAATTATCTTCAACCACCAGGGAAGACTACCTTAATGCCACATAGTTTTGCATTTCATACAATTGAAGCAAGCAGATTAGGAGGCTGAAGGATGAATTTATACACCTGCCTGCCCTCCCCATGATGTGGGGCTGCCCCCCGCCAAGGGGGACTGTATGTATGTATCCTGACAAGGACCATGTTTAGAGGTGTAGCTAGGCATATCCTCACTCAGATGTAGCACCCACAATATGTCAACCTTTGTGCAAATTTGGAGACTTCTCTTTGTCAAGCAAAGGGCTATTTCATCCCATGCAAAGCTGTATCCATTCACTAGCCCTCCCTTTTAAATCTCTATTTCACCTCTGTCCCTAACAAGATGAAATGGCATGCCTCTTATTAAGACCAACTTCCCTTCATAATTTATGCCTCTTCCATAAAATGAATGCCACTTGGCTTTCTGCTTTGGATCTAGAAAGTCAGAGACTGAAGCGAAACAGGCAGTGGCCCTCCTACTACACAAAATGAGTTTGAGTGACTAGCTACTGGAATGGATTTTGGCCAGCATTAAGGGCATTGAAATGGGAGTCAGACACAGGGCCATCTCAAGATACTTTACTGCCTAAGGCAAAGGACAAGATGCCCTTCCATCGTTCCGTGCACAGAAGCTGGCCACATCAACAGAGACAAGACAGCATCCATCACTTCTGAGGCAAGCATACAGGTGTCAGGGCAAGCCACCTCCAGCTCTGTCTTTCAGCTGATGAGAATGGCCAGACGGCTGTAGCAGAATAGCAAATGACCTGTCATTACTGGAATGCTTCCAACATCTCCTATCTGAAATGACTGCCCGCCCTAACCACAGAAGATAATCCAGCAAGAATTTCTCTTGGCCAAGTTTCTTGTGTAGCTCCCATTCATTTCAACTGACTTGCAATTGAACATCCTCATGGACTGTGTCTCTTGCTACTTAGTGGTAAGAGAAAAGATGTCATTTAGATTCTCTGCCAAATAACCAAAATGTCTTAAACCAACCGTACAAAGCCCCAGCCTCCACAGAAACTGAAGTGCGGTCCCCCACCTTTAAAAACTCTTTTTGAGTAAAAATCTAAACATTTCAAGTAATAAGACCTCACCAGGTCTATTCTTTTCTTTCCCTATATTTTGAAACCAAGACAGCAAAAATCCCATTTCCCAAATATACGAACTGGAACAATTTACACTGCTTTGTACTCATGGATCACCAGCCACTGTGGTCAGTGGTTCTGGGGAAAAATATCCTGTCATTAATGCCAGAACCCCATAAGAAGATTGTGAGTGTGATAACCTACCAAACGATACTATTTCAGGAAGTTCTTATTATTTCTGGATGACACTTTTATTAAGCAAATGTAGTGCCTCATTCATGGAGTTTTACAGGGTGGAATAATGAACAGAAGATATCACCTTCAACTTGCAGTCCTCCCATGTTTTCCTACTGCTTCTTCCTGGCAGCAGAACATCCACTAAGGAAGAAAATACAGAATAGCTGCACCATGTCTGCTGATTGTCTGCTGGACCTGGACCCACTGACCACGATCCCACGTCATGCCAAGTCACCCTGCAAAGAAGAGAGCCAGTGTGGCGTAGTGGTTAAGAGCATGGGACTGGGACTCAGACGACCTGGGTTCTAGTCCCCGCTCAGCCGTGGAGCCACCTGGGTGACTTTGGGCCAGTCACAGACTCTCAGCCCAACCCACCTCACAGGGTTGTTGTTGTGGGGATAAGATGGAGGAGGAGAATGATGTAAGCTGCCTTGAGCCCTTTGCAGGAAAAAGGCAGGGTATAAATCAATCAATCAATCAATCAATCAAAAAGTGGGTTGCTCATGACACCGTTCACAGTGCACTTGGCAAGTGATCAGGTCCACTGTGGCTGCTCCTCCTCCTTCGGCCAGGATCCTGGTGTCCTTCTCTAGAAACTGCCTTGTCTCTTTATTTGTGCTCCAATCACTACCTTCTCTTGTACGCCACGGTTTTCGAATAGGAGGCCTGAGTCTTTAAGAAAAGTCATTTTTCACCCCCCATAACACAATTGTGTTAGTAAATTTCATTTTATATATAGAATAAGTTACTTAATAAATAATACATATCATCATTTTTGTTGTTGGTCTTTTGCAAGTGTAGAGAGGCGCACTTACAGCTGTCTGGTAAGTGAAGCCTTTCCTGGTCAATTTTCTTGTCTGCTTCAGCTGTCACAGGGAGTGGGGAAGTATAACAGGTGACCGATGGACAAGGTGAGGCTGCTTATAGGTAAATTTGCACAAAGTCGCATTGATTCCCTAGCCGTTAATTGAAAAGAACTAGTAAATGGGGGAAGCAGCAAACATAGGTGCACCCAATAGGAATGGGAACAAGATCACAGCCCTGTCAATGTGATCTTCTTGATTTTAAGTGCTGAACTGACAGATGTCAGGGTTCTTCCCATTTCCAGCACTTCCCTGAGGCTCTAGCTCCTCCAGAAAGCAGAGATACAAACTACCCTGGCCTTCTCAGGGATCCTTTTTGGAGCACGCACTTCTATAGTATTTGTGCACCTCCAAAAGACTGACAACATTTACAAAGAAAATCATAAATACGTTTGTGCATATTTCTGGGGCTGAAAAGAAGAAGAAGAGGCGAATCTGCTCCAAAGTGCCACTTGCTCATCAATGCAGTGGTGGCAGCTCAAGCAAAATTGCAAAGAGCAGCAAGAGGGGTTTGCCGCTCTTGCTCAGGAGGTTCACACAACATGAACATCCATTGTGGGTCAGACAATCTCTAGAGCAGTCCATGGGCTGCCAGGCTGGCTTGTTGCCAAAAAATAAACTACACTGTGGGATGTGGGCTAGTTCAGACAATACGACAAGTCTCGCGGCTAGTGACCCCCAATGGGCTGTCATGTGGGGCAGACCCCGTCTCCATCTGCAGACCAGGGAAGCCTGTCCTTGCAGCATTTCACGTACAGTTCCACACTGACAAGATCTGTGCCAGAAATATACATTTTAGAAGCTAATCTTCATGGATGAAATTGAAAAATGAATAAATTAAGAAAGGGGAAAAGCAAGAGGGCATCTTTTCTCCCTACAGTTCATAACCCAGTGACAAAAGTTGAGGATATCTACTGCTGCCAGAACTCCCATAATCCACTGCTGGTCTTCTAGGCTTAGTGAAGACGGTAGGTGCAGTGTTTTTCTGGCGCTTCGTAGCTGTGTGCTTGGGCCTGTCTTCACCACTGCGGTTGCCCACCTTTGCTGGCTGGCTGTTCCTGTGCCGGTGCTAGAAAGCCTCTGAGCAGGGGTAGTGCCAGAGGGGAAGGACGGTGCTCGAGGCGTGCGTGCGCTCATGCCTCTTGTGATGGGAGCTGCGGCTGAAGCTCTTGCCACAGTAAACGCACACATAGGGCTTCTCGCCCGTGTGCGTTCGCTGGTGCTGTGTCAGCGTCGACTTGTCCGTGAAGCGCTTGCCACAGGTGTCACAAGCGTAGGGCTTCTCTCCCGTGTGGATGCGCTGGTGTCGCGTGAGGTTGGAGCTGACGCTGAAACGTTTGCCACAGGCACTGCAGCAGAATGGCTTCTCCCCCGTGTGGATGCGCATGTGCTTGACCAGGTCTGAGTTCTGGCTGAAACTCTGCCAGCACATGGCGCATGTGTTGGGGACCTCTGTGACTGGCTCAGTGGCGGGAGCCACAAATGCCCACTTCTTGGCCCTCGCTTCCTTGATGGTGGCGGCTTTGTCATTGCTGCCATCAGGAGGTAGAAGTGGCCGGTGGGCACAGTGGGGGTGGCCGCGGGTGGGTGGGTGGCGCAGGTGCCGTTTATGATGGGAACTGCGGCTGAAGCTTTTGCCACAGTCGGCACAGCGATACGGTTTCTCCCCGGTGTGCGTGCGCTGATGCTGGGTCAGCGTGGACTTGTCTGTGAAGTTCTTGGCACAAATGGAACATGAATACGGCTTCTCTCCGGTGTGGATGCGCCGATGCCGGACAAAGTTGGAGCTGACGCGGAAGCGCTTGCCACAGTAGCCGCATGCATAAGGCGCTTCGCCGGTGTGGATGCGCTGGTGGGTGATCAGCGTGGAGCTCTGCCGGAAGCTCCGCCCACACTCCGTACATACAAAGGGCTTGTCCCCACTGTGAATGCGCTGGTGGTTCACCAGATCCGAACTGTGCAGGAAGCTCTTCCCACACTCCGAGCACAGGTTGGAGCGCATCCCCTTGGTGGAAGCGGCTTGCCGTGGGCACGGCACCTCTTTTTGCTCAGCTACCACTGCTGCCTTCCGGCCCAGGTCTTGCTCCTCCGGCAGAGGGCTGCGGCACGGCCATTCTGACTTGTACGTGTTCTTTCTCTTCCTCTCTCCTCCGGCATGCTTGCCCACTAAGTTCTTTCTACTGGGAATGATTTTGCTCTTCTTGGGAGGCATCCCAGCTGTGGCCACCAAAGACTCAGCTCCCCCTGACCAACACTGTGCCTGCCACAAGTAGAGGAAAGACAGAGAGAATCCAGATGGGAAACACTCACCCAGAGAGCAAGCCAGCCAAACAGATTCCATACACAGACCTGGTGGTAGACAGACAGACAGTTTCACATGCGACAGGAGAGGTACAAGGAGAGGCAAAAGGAAATCTGGGGAGGACGGATCGGTTGAATTAGGTAGGTATTCAAGCTCTGAGTGGGAATTGGGGACTAGAAAATTTGGATGGGAAAAACCAGGAGTTCCAGTTTCAATTTTTTTCACTTCTGAGGGCACCTTTGCATGAGGACATTCTTTGAACAAATCTTGTTTAAAATGTTGCTAGAACTTTATTCCCTTTCAGTTTTGGAATCTAATAGGCGCCACCTTCCTGGCTCCACCCTGTCTGTCTCATCACTCCTTCCCCAGCTCCAAATCCACCCTCCATGAGTGCCACCTCTCCATACCTTTGCTCTTTTCCAAACTCCTCCCATTCCCTCTTCCTATACTGTTGCTTCTCAAGCCTGAGGGAACCAGATCTGCAGTGATCAAAGACTTGCAACGACCACTTCACAGTTTCAGGCCTGTTAGATTAAGGCCTAAACTTTGCAAAAGCTCTGAGCTTTGTTATAAACCTTGCAACTCCTGCCTTTAAACCCTAACACCAGCTTCCTGACCACTCTCTTTCCAACATAAACTCCTTGGCCTTACCATAGATGCTCTTCCTAGCCTTCCACCCCTTTATTGGTCCACATCCCCTATATCCCACAATTTCCTAGGCCTGAGGCCTTCTCTCCCACAGCAATACCACTGCCAGCTGCCCTAGACTTCTCCCTTAGTTAAAAGTAGTTTTAATAAGAAGACCCATGTGGGCTCATACCCAGGCCTATGTAGGCCAGCATTTTGTTCCACGGTGTCCAGACAGATGCCCCTTGGGAAGCCCAGAAGATCAGGGGTGCAGTAGCACCCTCTTGCTTCTGCTCCCCAGCAACAACCACCCAGAGCCTGAAACTGGAATAACATCTGGTATCATGTTAAGTGGATACTGGTATCCTTAGGCTCCAGTAATTTGTCATATGCCTGGAACTGCTTCATAGAACATGTCTGTGAAGCCACCTACCCACCTTCTCCTTGTGTCCCTCGCTTCCTCAAAAGCAGTTCTTCCTGAAGCCTCTGCTTTAGCAGAATCGCTTGGCTCAAGTAACTCTGAATTGTCCAACATGGAAATATTTAAAATGGAAGTGCCTTGGGTTAGGGTTATATTTTTGGTTATGTTTGTGTATTTATTTACTTAAGAGATTTATATACTGCTGGCCATATTTAAGAAAATCTCTAAGTGGTATCTAAATTTGAGATGATTATCTGAAAGCAAAATGCTTAATGTTTCCTCAGAATTACACATGCACATGATTACACGTCGTATCTATTTTATGGGAAAGAAGTATGGTTAACAAAATTCAGTAGGCAATGGAAGTAAACACAAGAATTTTAACATGCTTTTGCGAACAATTAACCTGAGAAGCAGCTCACAGTCTTGTGCAACTTATATTAAGTTGGTTTGGGGCTTCCCCATTTTAGGTTTTCATATTCTTGCTCTCAACCTGTTTGCAGGAGAACTGGTATGGCTCCTCCGAGTTTTGTAAAACCCTTCTGCAAGTCACGCTGTGCTACCACACCCCACATCCCCCTGCTGCTTCTCCAGCAGGTGCTTTCCCGCTGCGACATTTGCCTGGCTGTTTTCCTCATGGTGCTCGCCCAGAAGTGGCCACAGAACTCTTGTGAGACCTGGATGAGCTCCCAGGGAGACCCACACTTGCCTCTTCCAGCCCTGCGGCTCTCTGTGGAGGTGACGGGCTGGCAGGCACAAGAGGAAGAGGGAGGGAGGGTGAAGGAGGGCCGTGCATCTTCTCCCTTGCCTCAGGCAGCAAGAGGCCTTGTGCCGGGGGGGGGGGGATGCTCCATGGGCCCCTTCCCTCAGCAAGTGCACCTTCTCAGTGCCAGGGTCACCTGCTGCTATCACACCTCCACTTCCCTCTTCATCATGCCCACCACTTTGCTGACTAGCAAAGCTGCTCGGGCACCCCCTCCTCCTCATCCCCACCACCACCATTGCCTGGGTCGGAGAGGGAGGTGGGTGAACAAACAGCTGCAAGGATGGGGGGAGGGCTGGTCAGTGGATCCCTGTGTAGCCATGGGTCTCAGCAGGTCCCTGCCATGCCTACTCTGAGAACAAGCAGAAAACAGCCACCAGCCCAGCATGCAACTTTGCAATGTGCAAAAGTTCATATATGAAGTCCTAAGATTCAGCCAGGCTGCTGTTACCATTCAAACATTTCAGATTTGCATTTGAGGTTGCTCAGACAAGTCCCATGGGGTGGAACGTGCTCTCTCCAAACAGCTGTCATTTGCCCCTGCTACTTATGTTTAAAAATTATCAAATGCCTCTGCACTTTGTGTTAGTTTCCTTAAATCTATTCAAATGTTTTGAAGTCATGCAAGTGCCACACTGTGTTGCTTGTACAGAATTTCTGGTCCCCCAGCAACTGAGGGCCATTACTTAATTAAAATGATTATTATCATTTGCACACTGCAGGATCTTAGCTTACACTCCAACTTCTCTCTGCAAGCATCTCTAGGATACTGATGCTGCCTTGTCCTCATTCAGTGGGTTGGGGGAGAGCTAATTAAAGACGGAGGCCTTTAAACTTTGTACAAAAAGGAATGTGCTGTCCTTACAGGTGCATCACAAAGACACACACTGCCCATCACCAGGAGCAGTGGACCAGGATCTCAGCGAGAGAACCAGTGTGGTGTAATGGTTAAGAGCGTGGGACTGGGACTCGGGCAATCTGGGTTCTAATCCCCATTCAGCCAAGTAACCCACTTGGTGACATTGGGCCAGTCACAGACTCCCAGCCCAATCCACCTCACAGGGCTGTCGTTGTAAGGATAAGTTTGAGAGGAGGACGAGGATAATGTAAGACAACTGAGTTCCTTGGAAGGAAAAAACGAGGGGCATGAAATTAAAAACAAAGTACGTAAATTAACTTTCTCAACCCTGCCCTGATGAAGCGGTCGTCTGACCCGCACACACCGCAGCAGAGGCCCTCCACGCTATGGCGCGCATTCAGCGCAAGTGCAGGAGCGCAAGTGCAGGGCAGCGCGTCCGAAGGCTCCTTATCCCCAGCGCAGCCCCCTGCGCGCCTCTCCCGTGTTCTCGCTCCCGCGTGGATGCCTTCCGAGAGGGAGAGGCGAAATGCTGGCGCTCCGAGGGAAGGCAAAGGCTTCTCCTCAGCCCGTCGCCACTCAGCTGCTTTATGCTGTCGCCTCTGCAGGGAGCTTCCCAGTCCCGGCTGCAAGCGGAGGTGCCGAGGCCAGCGCCTCGCCGCCTCTGCATGCCAAGCGGCTGCCCCGCCGCGGATCCGGACCCGGACCCCTCCCCGCGAGCGCAGGCAGCCTCCGTCCACTCCTCCTCACCGCAACCATTCCTGACGCGTGGCTCGTGGCGTTACCTGGTCTCTCGCTCGGGAATTAGAGGCTGCCTGAGGGAGGGAGGGAGGACCGTCCCGCCGGACACGAGGCGCGCGGCCGAGATCGAGGCGCGCCCCCCCAGCGGCGCGCGCGCCCCGGCAGCCCGGGCCGCAGGAGGGACTCCTCGGGGAAGGCGCCGGCTCGCGCGGGAGGCGGCATCAGCGGCTCCTGACCCAGGAAGCTCAAGGAAGGCGGCGGAGCAGGGGCGGCTACGGGAAAGGAGGGAGAGAGGGAGGAAAGCCCTCCAGGGCCCTCTGGTGGCTGCAGGCGACGGTCCCCTCGCCCTTCTCTGTCGCGGGCGTGGATCCCACGCAGGGCCGCATCGCGCAGAACTGGGGCTGCTGCCGTGGGAATCGCCGGACGTTTGTGGAAGGGAGGCTGGGAGCCGCAACCGCCGAGCGGGCCGAGCAAGAGATTGGCCTCGCTTAAAGAGGGCACGGGCATGCTTCGCAAGCACCTTTTAAAAGTTTCACGTACTTGATTCCTCATTTAAAGTGAGATACTGCTGGTGGGCACATGTAATTTTATTATTACTTGTTGCATTTATATCCCACGTTTCTTGTTTCTTTTTTGCTCTTTTTCTTTTCTTGCAAGGCGGCTTACAGAATTTTCCATTTTCTCCTCCCAAGTCTGTGAAGTTGGTTAGGCTGAGAATCTGTGCCTGGCCCAAAGTCACCCAGTGAGCTTCATAGCTGAGCCGGGACTAGAACCCAGGCCTCTGGAGGCCCAGCCCAGCTCTTTAGCTAGGATGCCACACTGGCTTTTAGATATGCAAGAATATTAGTTCTGTGAAAGGACAAGCAAGCAAGGAAGACTGGGGCTATGCAGGCCTTTTCCAACTGAACTGTGACCTTTGTCCCACCACACCCCACCTGCTATCTGCCACCATCTGCCCCTGGAAGGAATAGCAGATGCTTGCTATGGCTCAAGTGGAACTGGTTGCATTGTTCAGTTTTCTGCACAGACCTACTGTAGCTTTTGGATTTTTCTAGTCTTTGGAAGACTTGAGTCAAAAGTGGGATATATCATATCGTAATACATCATATCCTACTACATCTCAAAGGATAGGAGTGCATTGTCCTCACGCGGTAGCCATGACTTGGTTCCAAGTCAGATATGTGGAAGGTAATGTTTGCTTTTAGGGGAAAGCCTTCCATTGCATTGAAAGCAGACCTTTGTTGTAAGCAATAATAAACTGCCTCATCTTGGCCAAAGCCACTGCTCCCTCTAGTCTAAGTGTAGCAAGAGTTAGATTTATGGGATCTACCTTGTTTTTTCAGTAGAGTTCCAAGATCCACCCACCAGAGCCAGTAGCAAAGGAATGGCTCAGGAAGGTAGACGCAGAATTATGAAATAAAGCACCTCTGAACAGAAGTTCAACTTGTCTTTTTCTTCTTCTTTCATTTCCAAGCACACACATTACAGACACAAATCTGCTGCTATCCTTCCCTTCCTCACAGCTTCCTTGTCTTTAGCATCCCAATTTGCGAGGGAGGAAGATTTCTGTTGTCACTTATTGTTAAAGTAGTGGGGGTCAGAAATCCTCTGCAAATCAAGAGCTCCACCAGCAGTTCCCAGTCTACTCTCTGCCTACCAGTGCTCCAGCCCAGTGCTTTGATGATCCTTCCAGACAAGGCTCTTATCCCAGCCTCGTTCACAGACTATTACAGTGCTGAAATGGCATATATTTGTCACCATTCTGTGTTTTTCCATCACTTCTTCCATCTTTTTGCTTACCAGAAAAAGAAGCACATGAGGAAAAGACAGAAGAGACTGGGACTCCTAGAAATCCTCTGTTTGGAAGCACCCTATGTGCCAAGCAAGGAGCCTTTCTCAGTTCAACTTAAACTAAGATTGTGGTTGATAATTTTAGCAGATTAACCAAATGTTTCCAAACTACCCTGAGCCATCTGATTGGCCATTGTGTGAAGCTGGGTGCTGGACAATAGGTGGATCTTTGGTCAGATCTAGCAGCGCTATCCTCCTGGTCACAAGATCTTCTTACTAGAAACGCCTAAGGTTGAATTTGGGACCTGTGACTTGCTCTGCCCCGACTCGGGATCCCTCTCACAAGGCAACAGCCTTCTTTGCCCTCTTCCCACAAATAGGAAGTGTGATGCTAATGCTGAAGTGTGATGCTTTAAACAATAAATGCAATGAGAGGAACAGGCAGCCTCCAGAAATGCAAGCAACACTGCTATCAAAGAAAACAGCCAGACTTTGTTCAAAGTCCTATCTGACACCAAACCAGACAATTGCTCCATCTAGTCAAACACTAGACAACAGTCCTAAATCTCAAGCCAATCATTTCGCAGCTGTGCAGGCTGAGATCTTTCAAGGACTGATCCAGGAATGTATGCACACAAAGCACATGGCCTGTCTCATCCATATCCCAGCAGCCAGATTATATTTCTGGGTGCTGGGTACTGAAAAGATCAGGGTTCATGCCCACAAGAAAACAAGAACAAGAACCACATATTTGAATATGCTGTAAAGTCTATAAGGATCTCTCTCCTAAGACACCCCAATTTGTGAATGGAGTGTATGGTCAGGAAAGGGGAGGTCATTTGATTGCAAAACAGAAACCTCAGGCAGGAAAATTCAAGGCAGGGCAGAAGCAGATAATCGAAGGAGATCAGATGCGACAGGAGTCAGCAGGGCCGCTCTTTATTTTAGCAAGTGCCCATGGAACGCAGGGAGATTTAGGGCTGCTTGTGGGTGTCCCTTAACAGTGCCTTGGACTGTGGCCACAGTCAGTCTAAAATTTGGCACTTAGGTCATTCTTACTCTGTGCAGATACTCCTCAAGGGTTTTTAAATTTTATTTTTGGTCCTGGCCATAAGTACAGATGCCTTTAAAATATACCCCACAGTTGGCGACAACCTAAGCCAGATGCAGCTCTGTGCTCTGGTAAGTCAGAGATCTGATATAAAAAGCTTCTCTAAATGAGGCACTTAATCTGCTGCTTTACTGAAGGTGTTCTTTCGTCATCTTTGTGGGCAGAAATGTGTGCGCTTTATTCAGGTTTATTCCTTGAGTTTGTCTTTTACCTGCTTTTCTATACATTCTATTATTCAACCACAAGGTGGCACTGTGGCACAGCTGCTGTATAGCAGAATTGCAAAATATCATGGACTCATACCCTGGACCTTATTCTGGCTTGTTCCGTACTTGTTTGTTCCATAATTTAATAGCTGTCTTTCCCCAGTCTACAGGATCCCTTGGAAAAGGCTGGAAAACACAGGGGAGGCCCTAGTGGAGGAGGATGTGGATGTCTTGGAAGGGACTTGCAGACAGACTTCCATGATTACAAGAGAAATTGCTCGCGTAGAGAAGTCCCCAGTTCCTACTTTCCCAGCCAGTCCAAGTCCACAAAAGTGAAGATTGTGAGTCCGCTGCAAAGATGCAATGCATGGCTACTGCACTGTATTTGGCTTGGTGGGCCACCAGCTTGCTGTGGACAGAAAGTCAGTCTTTTCCCCAGCCAGTGAGGAGAAGCAGTGGGTATGATTCCACCCCACCCCCACCCCCGCTGTCATTCCATAATTAAGGAGCATGAGCTTTGCCAACAAAAGAAAATAAAATGGTGGCACCCTGGCTGCCTCCTAGAGAAAGGCAGTGACTAATTATATTCTTATAAGGTGTTATTTAGCTGCCTTGATTTATGGTACTACTAAAAAATACAGCTGGGGATATTAGACATCAACAGTATCATGCAGCTGGCCTGGAGCAGATGGAGAGGGCATGCTAGCTTACTTACCCTGTTTGAATATACAGTGAGTGGGGTCCTATTTTTAACATGAACAAATATTTCTGGGTTACACATGTTCTTGCTTCACCTTCCAGTTCACATGCATGGTTCTCTGCCTCTTCTCCCTATTTGATCCTTAGAATTAAAACTGTGAAGTAGGTTAGGCTGAGAGATAATTATGTGCCCAGAATTGTCCAGGAAGTTTCATGACTAAGTGGGGGTTTGAACCCACATCTTCTATCCTCGTCAAATATTGCTGCCTCTTTCATTACAGCTTAGAGATCATGGTGCAAACCCAACCCTTGGGATTGTTGACAGAGAAACAAGCCCAGTCTGAAGCCACAGTTGGGTGAGAAGGTTGCTTCTCACACTTGGGTGAGAAGGTTGCTTCTCGCTCAGCAACCCAGACTGCTAGATTTGCAAATCACTCCAAACAATCCAGGAGCAGAGTGTTCCTGGGTTTATTTGTAAGCCAAAAACTAATCAGAAGTGGCCAGCGGCTGAGAGGTGACGTGCTCACTCTCATACAGCTCCAGCAACCCACGGGTTGTCCTCCGGAGGGAAGCAAGTCTTTGTCATCATGATGCCATGTGGGATGTTAGTGGTACACTGGACAACATGGCAGGCGGCATGATGGGCCATCACTTTTCACCCAGGTAACTATCATCTAAAAGGGGACAGTCAATTTTATTCAGGGCAGTTGAACACCTTGATATGCCAGCAAGATGCTTGTGGAAAGCTGATGCTGGTATATATTCCGGAGTGGTCTCCCCACCACCAGCCCAGGATTGATGAGGTGCCAACTACAACATGTCTCAGGTACCAAGTTCTTTACCAAAGCCTTCTCTGAGTGTGCTGCCAAATCCATTTGTTTGCAATTATATGTTGTATTCATTTTAAATTGCTTTGAATGTTCCTATTCGTGTTTATATAAATGTTTTAGTGTTTCATATGTTAATCATATCGTAATGCCTATCATACATGTATGTAATGCCCCGACTGTGAAATCCCCAGAGTGGTTCACCTGGTGCCGTCTTTATATGCTTTTCAGCACCAGGTAAAAACCTTTTTATTTACCCAGCATTTTAAAGCTTAGATAATTTTGATCTTGTTTTATTAATATCAATATCCTCAGTCACATTTTATCTTGTTATAGTTGTAGATTGTTTATATTTATTGTTTATTTATATTATATTGTAAGCCATCTTGAGACAATTGGTTTGTATAGGAAGAATAAAATGTTCTAAATAAATAAAAATATATTTTAATGTTTTTAATTTTCTTGT